GCAATCAGGCAAGAAAAAGAAACAAAGGCTATTCAAATAGGAAAGTAGGAAGCCAAATTGTCTCTATTTGCAGATGACATGATTGTATATCTAGAAGACCCCATCGTCTCACCCCAAAATCTCCTGAAACTGACAAGCAATTTCAGCAAAGTCTCAGGATATAAAATCAATGTGCAAAAATCACAAGCATTCCTATACACCAACAACAGACTTAAAGAGAGCCAAATCAAGAATGAACTGCCATTCACAACTGCTACAAAGACAATAAAATACCTAGGAATACAACTTACAAGAAACGTAAGGGACCTCTTCAAGGAAAACTACAAACCACTGCTCAATGAAATAAGAGGGGACACAAACAGATGGAGAAACATTCCATGTTCATGGTTAGGAAGAATCAATATCATGAAAATGGCCACACTGCCCAAAGTAAGTTACAGACTCAATGCTATCCCCATCAAGCTACCATTGACTTTCTTCACAGAACTGGAGAAAACCACCTTGAACTTCATATGGAACCAAAAGAGAGCCCGCATAGCCAAGTCAATTCTAAGCAAAAAGAACACAGCAGAAGGCATCACACTACTGGACTTCAAACTATACTACAAGGCTACAGTAATCAAAACAGCATGGTACTGGTACCGAAACAGAGATATAGACCAATGGAACAGAACAGAGGCATCGGAGGCAACACAACATATCTACAACCATACAGTCTTTGATAAACCTGACAAAAACAAGCAATGGGGAAAGGATTCCCTGTTTAATAAATGGTGTTGGGAAAACTGGCTAGCCATATGTAGAAAGCAGAAACTGGACCTCTTCCTGACACCTTACACTAAAATTCACTCCAGATGGATTAAAGACTTAAACATAAGACCCGGCACCATAAAAACCCTAGAAGAAAATCTAGACAAAACCATTCAGGACATAGGAGTAGGCAAGGACTTCATGACCAAAACACCAAAAGCATTGGTAACATAAGCCAACATAGACAAATGGGACCTAATGAAACTCCACAGCTTCTGCACGTCAAAAGAAACAGTCACTAGAGTGAATTGGCAACCAACAGAATGGAAAAAATTTTTGCAGTTTACTCATCTGACAAAGGGCTGATATCCAGAATTTACAAAGAACTCAAACAGATTTACAAGAAAAAAACAAACAAGCCCATTCAAAAATGGGCAAAGGATATGAACAGACACTTTACAAAAGAAGACATACATGAGGCCAACAAACATGAAAAAATGCTCATCATCAATGGTCATCAGAGAGATGCAAATCAAAACCACATTGAGGTGGGTGAAGGGGAGAAGAAAAGCAAAGCACACTGCCATGTGTGTACCTACGCAACTGTCTTGCATGCTCTGCTCATGTACCCCAAAACCTATAATCCAATAAAAAAATTAAAAAAAAAAAAAAAAAAAAACCACATTGCGATACCATCTCACGCCAGTTAGAATGGCAATCATTAAAAAATCTGGAGACAACAGATGCTGGAGAGGATGTGGAGAAACAAGAACTCTTCTACACTGCTGGTGGGAGTGTAAATTAGTTCAACCATTGTGGAAGACAGTGTGGCGATTCCTCAATGGCCTAGAAATAGAAATTCCATTTGACCCAGCAATCCCATTACTGGGTATATATCCAAAGGACTACAAATCGGTCTACTATAAGGACACATGCACACGAATGTTCATTGCAGCACTGTTTACAATAGCAAAGACCTGGAACCAACCCAGATGCCCATCGATGATAGACTGGACAGGGAAAATGTGGCACATACACACCATGGAATATTATGCAGCAATCAAAAATGATGAGTTTGTGTTCTTTGTAGGGACATGGATGAATCTGGAAAACATCATTCTCAGCAAACTGACACAAGAACAGAAAATGAAATACCGCGCATATTCTCACTCATAGGCGGGTGATGAACAATGAGAACACATGGACACAGGGAAGGGAGCACTATACACTGGGATCTATTGGGGGGAATAGGGGAGGGACAGCAGCGGGGGGGGAACTGGGGAGGGAAAGCATGGGGAGAAATGCCAAATGTGGGTGAAGGGGAGGAAGGCAGCAAAACACACTGCCAACTGTGTACCTATGCAACTAGCATGTTCTGCACATGTACCCCAAAACCTAAAATGCAATTTAAAAAAAATCTTATTTATAATAGTATAAAAAATTTATATAACTTCATTTAACAAAGGAGGTGAAAGATCTGGTCAAAATCTATAAAACACTGATGAAAGTAATTGAAAAAGACACATATTTTTCTTTTTCATTGATTAGAAAAAATATATTGCTAACATGTCCATACTTCACAAAGTGATTTACTGATCCAATGCGATCTGTATTAAAATTTTAATGGCATTTTTCACAGAAAGGGAAAAAATTCTAAAACTTCTACAGAATCACAAATAACTCCAAGTACACAATGCAATATTGAAAAAGAAGAACAAAGCTAGAGGCATCACACTTCTTCATTTCAAATGATTACACAGCTATACTAATCAAGAGTATGGTACTGACACAAAAACAGACACATAGACCAATGGAATAGAATATAGAAACCAGAAAGAAACCATGGCATATACAGTCAAGTAATACTTGGACAAGATACACAAAGGGTATAATCTCTTCAACAAATAATGCTGAAAAAAAGTAGTCATGTGCAAAAGAATAAAATTGAACGTTTATACCATGTACAAAAATTAACTCAAAAGAATTAACACTAAATGCAAAACCAGAAACTGTATAACTTCTAGAACAAAGCATAAGGAACAATCTCTTTGACACTGGCCTTGGCAATAATTTTTCTGGATATCACACCAAAAAATCACAAGGAAAAAAAAAGTAAAAAATAAAAACAAGTAGCATTACATCAAACAAAAAGGTGTGTGACAGTAAAGAAAACACAGAACATGAAAAAGCAACCCAGGGATTGGGAAAAAATATGTCTGATAAGAGTTTTATATCCAAAATATATAAGATTCTCACACACTTCAATAGCAAAAAAAAAAAGTGAATATGACTTAAAAATTTGCAAAGGACCCAAGTAGAAATTTCTCCAAATATACATAGAAGTAGCAAACAGGTTTATAAAAAGGTTCTCAATGTCATTATTCATCAGGAAAATGCAAGTAAAACCTCAATAGATATCACCTCACACTTGTTAGAATAATAACTGTTAAAAATCAAGATATAAATATTCACACTTGTTAGAATGCCTGCTTTTAAGAGTCAAGAAATATTAACAATAGTAAGAGTCAGAGCATGGAGAAAAGAAAACCCTTGTACACTGTCAGTGGAAATGTAAACTGATCCAGCCATTATGAAAAATGGCATGAAGGCACCTCGAAAAAATTAAAAATAGAAGTATCCTACTTCTAACTGTATAAGCAAAGGAAATAAAATCAGTATGTCAAAGATATATCTGTATCCCTATGTTCATAGCCAATTATTCACAATATACAGAATATTTTTCAGCCATAACAAAGAAGGTACTCCTGCAATTTTGACAACATGGATGAATAAACCAGGTGCACATAATGGTAATGAGCACAAACTTTCATTTACAAGATAAATTCTGAATATCCAATGTAAAGCCTTGTAAATACAGTTAACGATACTCTATAGTAGCGGTCCCCAACCTTTTTGGCAGCAGGGACCAGTCTTATGGAAGATAATTTTACCATGGATGGAGGTCGAGTGAGGGATGGTTTTGGGATGAAATTCTTTTACCTCAAATCATCAGGCATTCAATAGATTATCATAAAGAACACACAACCTGGATCTTTTACATGCACAGTTCACAATAGGGTTCGAATTCCTATGAGAACTGAATGCTGCCACTGATCTGACAGGAGGCAGAGCTCAGGCAGTAATGCTTGCTGGCTCAATAATGGGCATCTCCTGCTGCGTGGCCAGATTCCTAACAGGTCACAGACCAGTACTATAGACCTCTGCTCTATAGTATACTTGAGACTTGTTAACAGTGTACATCTTAAGAGCTCTCACCACACACAAAACAACTGGCGTCTGATGTGAGATGACTAATATGGTAATTAACTTTGTTGTGTTAGTCATTAAACAATGTGTATGCGTATCAAATCATCAAGATGTACCCTTTAAATAGATACCATTTATACTTGTGGAAAGAATCATATGTCAAGAAAAAAAAACTAAAGGACACATTCTCAGTCAGCTTCATACTTAACCAGATGAAATTATAAAATGATAGTTAAAATACAAGGCAAGAGTTTAGGCTTTGTTATATACTAGGCAATGTTCTAAGCTTCCCATAGACAAAAGTTAGATAAGAATTCTACATACTGAGTAATACACATTAAACTATTTTACATTTGTGGAATTTATGCCTATAGAATTTAAATTTCTCATCTTAGGGTGGGAAAAATAAAAAGTTGAAGTGAAACAAAATTAGATTTTCTTATATTTAGGAAGATGCTTTGTGGTTTGATAAAATTACTACATCTTAATTTCTGTAGGATCACCTCGGAAACCACAATAAAATTAAAAATTAATATATCAAAAATATGTGACATCTGTCCACAGAATTCCTGGAACTTCTGAATAAAATCCCACTGTCCATCACTCCCCTCACACACTTCAGACATGAGTCAAAAACAGAACTTAAAAGTGGTTTCACGTAGAGGTAGAAACATGCACAGACTTTCCCAGAGCCCCCAAATCAATGGAAGAGCAGTCAGATCACACAGGCCCTCACAGGCCAAGGGGAGCACTTTGGCTGTCACTGTGAATATGATGGTAGATCGCAGAAGGGAAAGGAGAATCATTAGATGATTTCAGAGCATGAGACAGAAGATGTCCCTCTGTGACAGCAAGAGAAATAAACTTAGGCTTCTCAAAAATCATTTCCATTGGAGAACTTCCCAATCCACATTTCAAGGTCTGGTTCTTTCCTGACCTCTGGACCTCTCACCCATGTCATCTATTCATTCACTCCCACCTACCTGGCTGGGTGGCTACTGTCTCTGCACTCTTCACATTCCAGGGCTCTTTCCTTTGCTCCAAAAAGGTAATCAGGTCCGGCTTAGAGATAGTAAGACCTGTTTTATTAGAAAAAGTCACATGATTCTGACAGTTCTTTTTATGTTTTTATACTTTTTTTGGCCCCACAGGACAGGATTAATTTCTAACAATTTCTAATTTCTTTTTTTACTGTGCTCAGTAGAAAAAAGAAGATATTATAGAAGATTCTAGAAAAGTGTTTTTCAAAATACTGTTTCCTACCAGCTTCTTTAGAATATTTAGGCAACATTTTAAATTTGGGGATCCCAAGTTCTCTTACAAATCTGACTGAATCAAAATTTTTAAATACTGGATTTTAAAGTGTTGGCAACAATAGTTTATGTTAACCAATTTCTAGACTCTGCTAGAGTGAAACTTGCACATCACCTCAAATAAAAAGGCAAATGTCAAGATCAAACATTATGAAATTTTTTCTATATCAACAAAACCCCCAATTTTATCCTGAAAACAAGAATCTGAAACTAATTCATAGAAAGCACAAGATCCAAGAGACAGTCTGAAAAGAAAAGATATAAAACGCTGTTATTAGATATTCTGAAGGCAAGTTATCCTCACCCAGAGAGACCAGGTTTCTGTAGTTCTCTAACATCACATCCCAGTACAAATTCTTCTGAGCTGGTTCCAGGTGTTTCCACTCCTCCAAAGAGAATTCTATGGCCACATCCCTGAATGTCACCAGTCCCTGAAATAAAAATAAACAATACATTGACCATGTGGCCATAGCAGAGTTCTTCATTTGTCCCAAGATGGAAAGACAGTTATTGGTTCTGACTTATATAAGTGACCTGAATTATTCAATAAGATAATTTTTAACACAGTAATATTTTCTAATGTAGTCTCAATCTCTGTGGAGAGTTAAATAAAATCCTCAAAACTACTGTAGATATTATTTACACAGAATATAAAATATAAAACTAAAGCATATGTAAAATATAAAACTATGTCTTTTCTGCTTTTAGCTCTTTGCTGCTTCACTTTATTTTGTAAAGTTAAGTAACTTGATGGTAATTAGCTGGCTTCATTATTTTGTAATACAACCAATATGTTCATTGGAATTTTTTGCATTTAATGTATGTTGGTACTGTAAAGGTATCTTGTTCCCCTCAAATGAATCAACACTGCCACCTTCTGTACAATTTTGTTTTTGCTTTGCAAAAACACTAGAAAGGCTGGGAATGTATGTTTTTATAATCTGATATAGAAAATTTTCATGTTTGATCTTGACATTTGCCTTTTTATTTGAGGTGATGTGTAAGTTTCATTCTAGCAATGAGTCTAGAAATTGGTCGATATAAACTATGTTGCCAACACTTTAAAATTCAAAAACAGGAATATACATTTTTTTAGTGCTATATTTCCACCATCCAGAATCAGTTGTATATAATTCTCAGGTGGAAAAGTCATGGTGACTTAGATCCTTTCCAAGTTTTATTGTATACAACAACAAACTGGAGATCTTATTCAAATGCGGATTCTGATCTAGGTTTTGGCCTGAGTTTCAGCATTTCTATGGTTTTTAATTTTTTATTTTGACACAGGTCTCGCTCTGCCACCCAGGCTGGAGTGCAGTGATGGAATCTTGGTTCACTGCAACTTCAACGTCCTGGACTCAGGTGATCTTCTTGTCTCAGCCTCCTAAGTAGCTGAAGCTACAGGCATGAGCCACCACAGCTGTCTGAGTGTCTACATTTCTAACAAGTATTCACCAGTAGTGTTAATGCTTCAGGTCCAGAAGCCACTTTTGAATAGCAGAGAGGCAGAACACTGAGGGAAGAATTCAGGCATGATGTGAAACTGAGAGTTTTATGAAATTTGCAAGTTACAACATAATAGCTAGAATGGTAGTAATCCTTTTTGAACATATACTGTATATCAGATGTCGTCCTAACACTTGTTTACATATACAAAACCCAATAAATAATCTATGAGAAAAATTATAGGATTCCTCCTCTTATATAAGAATATTTTCCAAATGTTTGCTACTTAGTAAAGCTTGTATTTTGCCTCAGTTTATCTGATTAAGAATTTATCTCAAAAGGACATACAGGCCAATATACAAAAACAACCTTAACAGAATGTTTAGAGAAAATTTCATAACTGAGTAATGAAAACAAGAAGGCAACCACACATTACTGATCAAATAATGCTTTCGTTTTTCATGCACACACACAAAAATGGTAACTATATACACATTAAGAGTAAGAGAATATTTCTGTGTAAACAGAATTAGAAAATATTTTAAATTGTATAAAAACTATAAAACTCTTTGTGGATGATATATTTTTTGTGTTTTTAAATAACTTTATAAAGACCAATACCTACAATGATATAAACTAAAAGCTCTTGTTTCTGAGTCTGGTACTTTTTTCCAAGCTTTTCTTATGCTTATTCTCTGTGCTATTATATATCTTAGAATTTTAAGACAATAGATATATTTACTGTGTTGACTATATGTTAATAGACAATAAGACATATTTACTATATGTTAATAGACGATAGATATATTGACTATACATTAATTCTTGTTCTTTCTCTGAAAACATAGAGAAGCAATAAGGATATGCTTGTGATATGAGATGAAATAAAATGGAAACCTACAGAACTAAGAGCTGCTTCAGAATTTCCAGGCTCAAAAGCTGTTATCTCCTGTCAACAAATGTAAGAGCCTTCGCTCTGCAAAGAAAGCTACAAGCAAAGGGAAACTAAAAAGAAATGGGAGTCTCTGGATTAAATGTGATGGTTTATCACTCAGTAAATCCTCCCTCCTAGATACTCATTAAAGACAAAAAGAAAAATGATTAACTTTATAGTGAAGGAATCTGGTAAAGCGCACCTGAACCAGGTGAATGAAGTTAGCATCGGCGGTAATAAGACAAATTGGTATTAGTGCTGATGCACAGATGGGCCCATAATCACTGCTGTGATATGAGTGGAGGGGAAAAGTAAATCATAATCTTAATATAATCATAAAAAGCAATCTGTGGGGGAAGATACAGGTGACCATAGTTCCTCAACCTGGCCAGGTGACCCTACTTAGAAGCCTGGGCTGAGAATCACTTAGCTAAGCATTGTCTCTCAAGGTTCAATATGCATACATATCATTTGGTATTCTGGGCCCGCTCTAAGTAATGTGATTCTGATCTTTGGAAAGTTTCTTTGAACTGGCTTCTTTAACAAGTCCCTAGTCAATGCTGATATTGCTCCTCCTAGACCCATCATCAATAACACTCAGCTAGAGGAAGCAGACACAGCACACAGGGTCCCTCACACACAGTACTTTTACTCACAACACAAATAGTTTTTGTTCACAGCGAGAACCACGAACCACTGTCCTGAAAGCTCACATCATTTGCCAGCCATTTAAAGCCTACAGAGGCTGGAGAAGACAGTAACGTCCAAGACAGCATTTGAAAAACAGCATGGATACATGAACTAACGCAGTGTTTACTGAGCTTGTACTATATGCTCACAGCATGCACTGTGCTGAGAACATCACATGGTGTGAGTTAAATCATATAAACCCCTGGGACGCAGGTCCTGAGTATCCCATAATTCCCAGCAGGATTTAGATGGCCCAGCCTTTCTATTTCTTCTTCTGTTTCCCTATCACTATAAAAGCTAACTATAGACATATGGGAGGAATACAGAAAGGAAGGAGTGAAATTTAGTTTAGAAGAATTTCTTGGCCAGGTACGGTAGCTCACACCTGAAATCCCAGCACTTTCGGGGGCTAAGGCAGGTGGATCACTTGAAGTTAGGAGTTCAAGACCAGCCTAGTCAACATTGTGAAGCCCTATCTCTACTAAAATTAGCTCGGCATGATGGCATGCCTGTAATCCCAGCTTCTCGGGAGGCTGGGGCAGTAGAATCACCTGAACCAGGGAGGCAGAGAATGCAGTAAGCCAAGATCACAACACTGCACTCCAGCCTGGGAACAGAGCGAGAGAAGAATTTCTCATTATTGTCTTTACATCTTTACATTGACTTCATTACAACTTGTGGAGCAACTACTGGATCTGCAGAAATGGAAAAGAGGTTGCCAGGTGCAATGTTTCTAGAGGTACTGGTTTCAATAAGAAGAAACATTAAATTTCCAAACAATTTTTAAAGTGAGTCCTTTGCCCTCATTTACTTGCTTTTGGTTTTGGAGAAATTGTGAGCACCACCTCTAAAGAAATGGCAGCAGCAGCCACCCAGAAATCTGATCTCCTCTAGTCAGTCCTATGAGGGGAGGCTCCAGGGTAGAGGCAGACCTGGACAAGGCTCAGAAGAGGGTGGATTTGGGCAGAGTAGATGAGGGGGGACGTGGGCCCTAGGCTTCTCATCTCTACCCTGCTGGTTTATTTTCAGTTCTGTCTTTCCTAAGCCTGACCAACAAGAACTTGACTCCCATGGTTTGCCTTGTTTTAACTGTTTAAGCTTCAACCTATTTTGTAACATGCAATAACAAGCAATTTAACCAAAACACGTAGGGCTTTCTGAGAAAATTATATTAGTAGCTACACAATTATCCTTAAAAAGAAAAAAGCAATATAAATAATAATTATAATAACAACTCTTTTGTCGATGGGCAGCCCTTCATGTGCTGACATCAGAACTCACAATGTTAACATACAGGCAGTGTCCCAAATGAAGCCCAAGTTCCCTATACACCTCTGTTCTTGCTCCTGACAAGATGGTGAATTCAACATCATCCATCTGCTCTAGACTGAAAGTTCCTGGACAGTAGGGACTACGGCTGCTACATCTGTTTTTCTAATGGCCATATGAAATGAAAGCAATTGGTTTACCTATCAGTCTGAGTCTTCAGACCTCCTCCTTGTTCTTCATCCACACATTAGAAAACTGGAGCAATGCCCATTTGGATACCAAATAAAGATATTCCTTATGTTAAAGGAGAAAGAAAACCTGGATAACTCATTCCTCTTCCTCTGAGACTGAAGCAAGATTAGCCCATTGTCAGCCTGACCCCTGTCTGCACAGGATATAACCAAGTGTCTCAAGGATCCCTAGGTGCTGGTGAAGAGTCCCTGGTAACCCTGGGATGAAAACCCAATGGTGATTTAGGCAGGAAAGACTCAAGTTGTCCTTGTGGAACCAGAGTAGAAAACTGAGTTGTCATGGTAGGGCCAGATATGTTATTACCTACACCTGATCAGTTAACTCTTGGGTACAAGAGAGGACAAGTTGACCCTACTCCAGTAACACAGCACACAGGTAGGTGTAGCTTCACTCACGGATCTGGAAAGTTGTGGCCCTGCCCTCCCTCTGCTAAGGTGCTGCTTTACACTTACAGACTCTGCCACCAGATTGTTTATAAAAGGAACCCCTCACAGAACTGCTGTAGCTCACTGGACAAGATCTTGAAAACTCTGAGGGCCTCACTCCAAAAGGAGGGATTTACAAAGTCCATGTTGATCTCTCACAATGCAGAAAATGTCCCCTGGATTTTCTATACATCCTCGGTCCAAAGTCTGGGCCTGTCTTTTGGAGATCAGCCTTCACTTCCAGACTCCAGGTGGAATCAGCCTGGCTCTGCAATTCTTGAGTATTTCTGTGAAGAGCGGAAAACTAGAGGAAGGCTGCTCTCACACATCCTGGAGAAGCCCAGGACCTGGGTTCAGAATTTGAAGCTGCCGATTTAGGTGCGGGAGGGGCAAGGAAGTGGCCGGTGCCCTATGC